ATATTTGTTTTGTTTTGCTTTTTGAAGACAGGTCTCAAAGCAGCCCAGGAGGGCCTCCAACTGACTATGTTGCTGAGGATGGCTTTGAACTTCTGCTCCTCTTGCCACTACCTCCCAAGAGCAGGGATTACAGGCACATACCACTTCACTTGGTGTATGTGGTGCTGAGGATGGAACCTAGGGTTTCCTGGCTTCCAAAGTAAGAATGTTACTCACAAGGCTCTATTTCCAGACCCATTGTGTTGCTAAAATATTAACTGAGGAATAGGGAGGGCATGGGGGAGCGTGTCGAAGAGCAGAAAGGGAAGGGGAAAACTGATATAATCCTATTTATTACTATATTAGTTAATTATTAATTAAAGATGCATGAAAACTTAAAAATTAATAGACGTAGCAGTAAAATATGAAAAAAATTCCAAAGAGGGCATAAAACTGGATGGGTAGGGAAGGGGGCTGTGCAACTGGGAGGAGTTGGGAGGTGAAAATGAACAATGTGTAGATTGTATGAGAGCCCAAAGATGGTGGAGCACACCTTTCATCCCCACAGAAGCAAGCGTGCACATTTCTGTGAGTTCAAGGCCAGCCTGGTCAACACAGCTCTAAGCCAACCATAGCTACCCAGGACACCTTGCCTCAGACAAATGAACAACAACAACAAGTACAATCTGAAACTCTCAAAGAGCAAATGAACAGAGCAAGAAAAATATCACTTCAGAAGCTGTTTGAATATTACCTCTTGGGGGAGGGGGATAAATAAAATTAACAAAACAAGAAAACTACATCTGGTTCCCTGAAACCTGAACAAGAAAGTTTCCCCGTAAACAGGAGGAGTTTGACACCTGGAAACAGCTGCCAACGGGACAAAACCTGTACCATCTATTACTTCATTCTCATTTTAAGACAAACCCACCTTACTCTAGTGTATAGGAGTAATATGTTTGGATAAGGGGGTTAAAAAGATGCCGTTTTACGGAGCTTTTAGAATTTTGTGCTTCCATCCAGTCTGTTCCAGGAAGTGACCTTGGGCATGAGAGCTGAGCCCTGGGTTCCCCTGGAGCCCTGTGGGTCTCTTGCAGAACTCAAGCTATGTGAGCTAGGACCCAGCTTTCCTCCCTCCCAAGGTGAGCCTTGAGCCTAGTAAACAAGCCACAGCTCACACTGAGCCCAGGCAGGGGAGCCTGAAATCCACTCCTACAAGAACACGGGCGGGTCTGTGTCATCCCATCTCATACGTGACGTTTCCAAGAATCATCCTGTACACAGGAAATTAGGAAACAGAGCCAGAAACAAGACTAGAGATTCCTTCTGACCAGCCGGCCCGTGGCTCACACAGAAGAGTGGGTGGGTGGAAAGAACATGACTTTAAACCTTGACATTAACTTCATAACCAAATGAGGGGTATTGCTTCACATAGCGCAGGTGCTGCCAGAGTTAGAGAAAAGAGAAAACCGAAGAAAATATAGACCAAGTACGCAGAAATACTATTGTCTCCTCATTGTTCTCCTGATAGCAATTCTTTTCCAGTGTGGGATTGGTGTAATTGCTTAATTTGGGTAATAAGGGGGCCAAGTGCTGCCTCTTCCTTGTTCCTAATGACATATGAAGAGACATCCCACATCCAAGATGCTGGGTTCACCGCCTACTTAATTCCCCACCCAATCTCTCCCTTCCCAGGAGTCTTCCAGGTTCTCGGCTGCTAACATGAAATGTGTTCCCCTGGCTGAGGATGCTCCAAGTGGGGTCTCATCAGATCCTTTCCATGTGCGCGTCTGTCTCCAGCATTTCAGCAAGCCTCTGCTTTCCCAGCCCTTTCCCAGATACTTTCACATTAATTAGTAAGGGTATCATTTTATAAATTATAGTTTCCTATCAGAAGAAAGCAGAGTTTATCTTAATTCAGTCAGCTGTGTGAAATACCGTACCCTAATTTTAGACTGCCGGTTCTGCAGATCCCCACGGAGTAAGAATGACAGGTCTTCCGGAGAGAATTCCCACCAGGTCCCTCCTGCAAGCCTCACTTTTGGCTACAACAGCATCCCCAGTGGGACTTGCTGAAGGATCCCAGGATGCTGAGTGGCATCTACTTCACTATTAGCAATTCATATTTGTATTCAAATCCTCCAAGCGGTGCCAGCAAGCACCCTGGTGGGCTCAGGGGCTACAGGAAGAGGCCCTGCCATAGAGCAGGCTGACAGGGCCCCTGCAAAGCAGGGAGAACGGGGTTCAGGTTGGCGATAAACACCATCCTGTCTCAGCTGGAAAAGGAGAAGCCTGGCAGACTTAACTAGGCGAGGGCCAGGCAGGCACTGGTGCAATTAGAGGCTCCTGGGCTCCTGCTGGGAAACCCCTGGAGAAACACCCTTCTGGGCAAGGATAACACCTAACAGTGTCAAGTGCAGCTCCCAGTTACAAAGGCCTGCATGATCTTCAGGCGCAAACAAAAATACAGCCCAGTGCCTAGGCAGGGGGTGTACCAAGCAAGTAAAGAATGTGTCTAGTGATCCTTACCCCCCCCACCACCACCACCACTGACTTCTCACCCTTCTATCTGCCTGTTCACTCTCCTCACAGCCTGGCACTCACCTTCCACACCGTTCCTTCTAGCTAGTTCTCTGCTGCTGCTTCAACCCCCTCGGCTGTCCCCTCCACTACTTCTAATGCCTGCCAGCAGCTTCACTCTAGGAGCCAGGAGAGTCTGAAGACCTTGCAGATTAAAGATGACTGATGTCCCCAGAGACTCCAGGGTAAGAGACCTGGAGTGGAGGCCAGGCCTGGGGTAGTTCCTGGGGGATTCTGAGGCGTGACCAAGGCCAAGAGTGGTGACCAGGATACTGAGGAATGGCAAAGGGGAATTTTTACCACCTTCCCTATTGCAGACAGATGTCTCAATATGGAATTCACTTTACATATGTGTAATAGAGCCTCCTTACGTAGCACATGATGTCCCGGAACTTGCAATTCTCCTGCCTCAGTCTCCTAAATGCTGGGGTGACAGGTACGCAACATCAGGTTTTTGAAATAAAGATCTCCGGACTAGGGGAAGAGCTTTCTTAGAAGTGCCTGCTGTTCAAATATGAGTTCAATGTCTAGAACCCACAGTCTTGTAATCCTAGTACTGGGCAGACAGAGACAAGAAAGTCCCTGTAGTTTGCTGGCCAGCAAGCCTAGCTTACTTAATGAACTCTAGGCCAGCAAGAGACTATATCAAAACCCAGGTAGACAGCACCAGATACTAATGATACTCAAGGTCACCCTCTGGCCTCTGCATCCAACTGCACACAGATGCACATGCACCTGCCCATACAGGAAGATGCACACATACAACTATGCTTGGAGAGTAAGACCTTGAATAAAACCCACGCTTTTGGAGAAGTGAGCTCAGTTCTTGCTTGCCAGTAAAGCTCTTAAAACAGTCAGAAGGTTTCTGCACCTTCCTGGGTGCCAGAGACACCCCACAGAATTATGGCTACTTTTGCCATATGCCCACATGACCTTGGAGCTAGTTCGAGGCGTCACTTGCATTTTGCTTGATGTCACCCATCCCTGGCATGTGTTGGTGCCCAAGGTAGCCAAGGTCCTACTTCCAAAAAGCTAAAATTTCCTCCTGGGGGGCGGGGTTGGAGGAAGGAAGCCTCAACTTGTCAGTTAAACAAAAGGAGAGCCCTCAGCCCCCTACCCAGTGTGTACTTCCGCTGTCATCCAACAGCCCATTACCATGTCACAGCACGGCGCACCCTTCCATAGGTCACTTTGTTTAAAATGACATGGATAATGCACATGTCAGCAAGCTGACAGTCCTGGCCGTCCTTCAGAGATAAAAACCTCCAGGCGAGAGCCTGTTCTTATCTGGGGGACACGCGCTGGTCTATCATCCAAGTCAGGCGGAGCGTGATTTCTCCAGAGAGCACTTTTTTCATTTCCTGATTTTAAGGAAAATCAAATAAGCACCATTTGTCTTCATCTGAATATGCTTGACCTGCTCAGATGATGATGTCTCGAGTTTTATAACCGGCTACATATGCTGAATTCAAATTAATGACAGTGGAGAACAGGAGCCTTCAGATTCTCTCCTGGAGGCTGTTGTGGAGGCGGAGGGAGAAAGTCCGAGATGGATAGGGAACAATCACTACCCATGAACCGTGGGATTCTGGGGAGGTTCAGTCAGCAAGCCGGAAGTGAACACCACGGAACAGGGTACAGGGCAAGAGGGCACTGGTCAATTGTTTTGGTACCATGCAGCACATAAATTCTGAGATTCGAGTAAGTTTTCAAATTACACAAGGCATCAGTGAAAATGAAAAGACACCTGGTTGGTAGATGCCAGCAGCAAGGAAGGAAAAAAAAACCTACCACAAACCTTTGGCTTCCGTCAACAGAAAATGAAAACCTACTTCCTGGCTTCAGAATCCATCTTCTGGAGGCTCAAAGCCTGGGTTCCGTCTTCATCCTTGTTGAGCTGGGTACACTGAGGCTGGGCCTCAACCTCCAGGTAGAGGGTGTGCCTGCTAGGGAGACGCCCCTCCCCAACACCAACCCACAGAAGAGAGCAGAGTCCTCTTGGCCACCCCACCCACACTGCCCTGGAGGAAATTCCTAGGGGCACACCACTGACATTTCTATTAGGAAGCTAGGGAAAAACAAGAGCAAACACAGAGGTCAAGCAAAGGGAGGTAGAAATGACATTATAAATACACAGGAGGAAGTTCAATGTTTTCATCATGAGCAAAAAAAAAAAAAATCCAGTTCCTTTTTAAAAGTGTTTTCGGGGTCTACGTGTCACCATCCATAAAGTGAAAACTTGGTGTGACACACAGGGGACATGAAGGAGCATGTTTCAAAGAGGTAGATGTCACAGATTTGGCACAGTGTGTCTTATCGTTGAAAATGTCACAGTGTGAACAATAAGACATCCTGCAGGGGGGAACAGGTACCAGCAGGGGAGTGATGGTGCACATAGGAGCTCAAGGGCTGTATCTGCAATGGAGGGGGTGGCATCTTACCTTCTCTTCCTGGTCGCTGTCACTGTCGCACTGAAAATGAAGACAAGAGAATAAAGGTCAGTGCGGTGATTATGCAATTTGCTTCAGACACTCCACCTTCCCCGGGGGTAGGGCAAACATAGGAAAGGAGAGAAGTTCCTGGGCTGGGAGGCGCTCTACAGCTCCAGGTGCAGAACACAGGACAACATCCATTCTGTCAGTTCCCTCATATCAGTGTCCTAGGATCCCTGGAGTCTACACAGCAGGAGACTCCATCATACCAAAAAAAAAAGTTGTTGTTGTTTGTTTTGTTTCTTGTTTTTCAAGACAGGGTTTCCCTGTAGATTTGGAGCCTGTCCTGGAACTAGCTCTTATAGACCAGGCTGGCCTCGAACTCACAGATCCACTTGCCTCTACAAAAAAAAACTTTGAAAGTCAAGGGAGCACCTAGCCAGGGGCTAATACTGCCACATCATGAAGTGGACTCAGGATCCTTCCAAAGGTCCCGGAATAAAACCACTTCTGCAGAAGAACGTGCTCTGCCTTCAGCTTTGGAGACTGGCTGTCTTTCTCTTGAATCTTTTCTCAAGAAGAAAACACGTTTCGTACACTGAAATCTCTTGCCAACACTTTGAGTTCAACACTGTGAACAAGGCTCCACACATGTGACATTGTGATGGTCAATAGTGATGATCAACTTGACAGGATCTTGAATCTCCTTTGGGCAATGTCTGTAAGGAAGTTCTTGATTGAACTAACAGAGGAGGAAAGAACCCCCCTCTAAATGTGGCACCATCTCAAGGATCACGGCGCTGGAGAGAGTAACCTGTGTGCTCAAATCTCTTTGCTGCTTCTGGATTGTGGGTGTACTATCACTGTGGTTTCAAGCAACATTGACCCCCAATTACTCTGAATGCTTGGTCACCAGGGAGTGGCTCTATTTAAAAGGATTAGAAGGATCAGGAGGCATGGATTTGTTGAAGGAAGTGTGTCACTGGTGGTAGGTTTTGAAGTTTCAAAAGCTCATGCCAAGCCCAGTGTAGCTCCCTCTCCCTACAGATCAGGATACAGAGCTCTCAGTTCTCCATTCCTGCCTGGGTGCTGTCATACTCCCTGCCATGATAATAATAAACTGAGCTCTGAAATTGTAACAAAAACACATCAAATGCTTTCTTTTATAAGAATTGCTGTGGCCATGGTGTCTCTTCACAGCAGCAGAAGAGTAACTAAGACAGTGACTTCCACCTCACATCTTTACTGTTATTCCTTCCCCACCGCGGTGGGCGATACCTTTGAACTGTGAGCCAAAATAAGCTCTTCCATAAGTTGCTATTATCAAATATATTGTCACAGCAATGAGAAAAGTGACTACTACTGATGCCTGAGGTTAGAAGGCAAACTCCCTGTAGGTGATGCACCAAGAGCAATAAGTAGTATGATAAGCCTGTTGCTCCAGGTTTGTGAAAACCAAAGAAAGAAGTCTCTCACAGTTTTGGGTTTCTTGACAGAAGCAGGGGAAACAAAAAACAAGTCTTCTAAAAACTAAAAAAAAAAAAAATCTTCTAAAAATCAAGATTCTCCACTTCTGATGATCCCAGAAAAAACAAACAAACAAACAAACAAACAAACAAAAACCCCAAGAGTCTTTTCTTTTCGTTTTCTGGTTTTTTGAGAAAGGGTTTTCTGCAGATTTGGGGCCTGTCTTGGAACTAGCTCTTGTAGACCAGGCTGACCCCGAACTCAGAGATCCGCCTGCCTCTGCCTCCTGAGTGCTGGGATCAAAGGCATGTGCCTTGACTGCCCAGCAAGAACATTTTCTTAACAAATAATGGGTTAAACAATGGAGCTGGTGAGACAACTCAATTGCTAAAGTGTTCTCCTAGCAATCAATCACAGGACTTGAATTTGGGTTGATTTTCAGGACCCATGTAAAAAACAAAATTAACATGGTAGCAGCAGCATGCATCTGTGATCCTAGTGCTGGGGAAGAGGAAACAGAAGGATCCCTGGGGCTTTCTGGCCAAGCAGACTAGCTCACTTGGTGAGATCCAGGTCCCAGGGAAAGACCCTCAATAAAAAAGACGAACAAGGCCTGAGGAAAGTCTCTCAAGGTTGACCTCTGATCTCCACACATAAGCATGTGCACACATACATACACATAATACAGCATGAGTTTTGTTACGGTAAACACAGAGAAGGTGTGATTACATGTACGCCTTTACCATGGAAAGGCCCTGCCGAGCTGGACTCAACCAAGATGAGACACAGGACAGCGCCTTTGGCTGCTCCGTGGTTCACCCAATGTGGTGTGCAGATGGGATCACTTTGCATGGGTGGCAGAGAGAGAGTACCCACCAGGAAGAGAGATGATCACGGGGGAGAAGCCTGGCATGTAGGACGCTGTCTATGCCAGCAGAGTGCCAGGTTTGGAAGAGGGTGAAGCAGACGGCTCGGCAGAGCTGCGGTGAGAGCTGACAGGTCTCGGTAATGCACGGCCAGGGAAGGCAAGCGGCAGGTGAGTCTAGGAGGGTGCCAAGGATTTTACTGTGGCCACCTGTACATGGGAGCAGATGGAGCCACCAGGGCAAACAGGAAATGAAACAGAGCTGCCTCTGCAAGACAGAGAGCCACAACTCTCTTCTCCCAGATCTCCTAGAGTTCAAAAGGGCAGGACTCGTTCCCCCACACGGTTTCCTTACACTTCTGGGTAGCTATGAGAACCATTTTGGTCAAATGAGAGTTGAAGTCTGCAGAGGATGCTGAGGTAGGGGAAGAAGGAGGAGGGAAAGAATCTTGGGCCTACAAGAAGGCTCAGGGAGGAAAAGCACTTGCCGCACAAGTCTGATGACCTCAGCTTAACCACCAGATCCCAGGTTAGGAGGAGAGAACTGGCTCCTGAGTCTGTGCTGTCTTCTGATCTCCGCATGGGCTCCACAGCACAAGTGTGTATGCGGGCATACCACATGAGAACACACATTAAACACTCACATGTGTACATGCACGCGTGTGCGCATACACACACACACACACACACACACACACACACACACAACAGTACAGATTTATTTAAGAGTCTCAATAAAAAGTAGGCAGCTCCTGCCTCTGACCTTCAAGTCCTCCTAGGTGAGAACATGACTTGTGCATCTACAGCCGTCATTGTGTAAATGTGGGGTTTAAATAACCCCCAAAGCCTCCATGCCAACACAGATGGAGAGCCCCAAGGAAGAGAAGTCTGACGTCATTGAGCCACTGAACCCATGTGCTAGAATAGACTCCTGTTTTTCTTAAGAAAACTAGTTATTATTGTTCAAGTTAACCCCTGAGTGCTACCAAGAGATGCTAGTAAGATCTCCATCCAAATGCTTGTGTGAGGAGACCACTGCCTCAGTACTGTGAATATTTAGAAACTTACATAGAATATATTTATTTGTCTTTGTTTTTGAGTCAGAATTTCATGTATTCCAGGCTGGCCTTGAACCAGCTACACGACCAAGGAAGGCCTTGGATTCCCGATCCTCTCACCTCTACGTTCCCAAGTCCTGGGGTGAGAACTGTAACATCTACCTCTCTCTCTCTCTCTCTCTCTGCCTCCTAGGCCACACAGGGTTATCGGACACAGAGTGGCTGACAGACCCTCGTCAAGTCCAAGGGCATCATTTTCAGCAGTAGCTACGTCTGTATTTACATTCTGTTGCCCAATCCGTGACTGGTTATTGTATCAGACGAGGTGAGCGTTGAGCGGAGAAGACTGGGTGAGATGAAGTCCCCGAAGGCCTAGAACCGTGGGTGGATGGGGTGGGTGGAGGTGGTTGTGTTCTTCCGAGGGTGTAACCGCTCTATTGCTTTTTACCATAAAATCTCAAGTGCATTTTAAGACTGACAGCCTGATTGAGGGGGGGTGGGAAGAGAAGAGTCTGATTTCTTTTCTTTTCTTTTAACTTTGAATTGCTGGGGGATGGGAACCCAGGGCCTGTGTATGATAGGAAACCGTACTGCTGAGCTCCGTCCCCAGCCCAGAGTGCTGCCTTCTGTCACGCCTACTCTCTCCCAGATGTTCACAGCTATCCATACGAGGTTATGACAATGAAGGCTAGAGCGACACATTTCCCTCCGTCCTCCAGGGTCTACGCTCAGGAGAAGAAGCCGGGAAAGTGGGGAAAGCGCTCTCTCCCACCCCCATCCAAACAGCGGTAAGTCTCTGGGAATGGTTATTTCTATCAAGGCATTAAGCTACCCCGCTTTTGGAGAGTCCAGTTCTAATTTCAAGGTCCACTTAATTCCGTACCAAGTAATTACGGATATACCCAGAAGCACCTTGCCTCCAGAGTTAAGCATATGGTGGAGAACTGAGACCTACTGGTATCCATTATGGAAGCCACACGGATGCCAAGCTGATTACAAATGCTGGGGCTCCCCACACGACACACTCGTGAGTGACAGGCCCCTCGCAAGGCCAGCCAGAGTCTGCCGAAACACGGTCTGTGGCACCAGGGGCCCACATGGTGCGCTGAGAAAACAGCCCCATTTCTGGTATTAAATTCCCATACTGACCCAGGGACTTTGCCGTGAGCTCAGCAGGAGCTCACCATCCAATTTACAGCTCCACTCTCAGGAGCCTCCAGTGCCAGCCCCTGGCAGAGAGCGATGGCGGTCAACCCCTCCAGCTCATAAATTATGCAAAGGCAATAAATGCGTTCAGCAAACAGCGCCTGACGCTTGCCCAGCCTGGCTCCTCACACACTCTGCAGGAAAAAAAAAGAGAGAGAAAAAAGCCAAAAGCTGGGTGCATATAAGAGGTCTATTCCACTCATAAAGGGGGTTTGTTGACAGCCCCAGACGGAAAGCGAGCTGGGGTCCTGAGCGGGCTTTCTGCCTCGCTGGCAGTGGTTTATAGGCGTGCTTTATGAAAAAGGGAGGCTGTTTTATGGAGTCGGGGTGGGGAGAAGTCATAGTCTCGAATTCACATTTAATACACTGCCCAGCTTTCACACCCCGGGTTCGACCCGCTGTGGATCTTTCTCGGGCCAGATGGTTGTCGGTCTTCAAAGGTT